CTGCTCCTCCTCCTCCTCCTCCTCCTCCTCCTCCTCGCTCTCCTCCTCTTGCTCCTGCTCCTCCTCCTGCTCCTCCTCCTCCTCCTCCTCCTCCTGCTCCTCCTCCCCCTCCTCCTCCTCCTCCTCCTCCTGCTCCTCCTCTGGCGGAGCCCGATCGCCGAGGGTGGCGGCGCGCCGAGGACGCATCGGGGAACGAGCAACAACACAGACACAGACACTCGGAGGTCCACGCGGATTTGCTCGGATCAGCGCCGGATCCCCCTCCATGGCGCGCCAGGAGCGCGCCAGGGGCGGGGAAGGGGCAGGCCACTCCTCGGCAGAAAGCGTGCCCCGATTCGAAGCCGACGCGGCGACCTCCAACACCGACCTGGCGGTTTTAGGGGAACAAAAAATGGCATAAACATAACAACTCGGAGGTCCGCGCGGATTTCTCGGATCGGCGCTGGACCCCCCTCCATGGCGCGCCAGGAGCGCGCCCGGGGCGGCGCCGGAGGCGCCGCCGAAGGTGCCAGCGCCGGTCCGAGGAATCCGCGCGGACCTCCGAGTGTTTGTGTCTGTGTCGTCTTTCCTTCCCCTGAGGGCAGCCAGATGGGCGACGAAACGAATCGGGTCCTGCGCAAGATGGCGCAGCGACCCTACGCCGCGGCGCACGCGGGCCGCTAGCGCGGCAGGTTGCATCGGAGATGAGGGTGCTCACGCGCGAACTTACGCGGGCAACTTGCGCGCCAATGTCGGCGCGGACGACCCCGTATTTTTGTTTCCGTCGCTCCGCTGGGAGCAGGCCCCTGGACTTGGAAATTATAAACAAACGCCTGCAAATAGGATCGATGCCCCCAGAGGTCTCAGCAAATTTCTGAATCGGGGTCATTGACGGTCTGCGGAGGTCCAGCCTTCCTGCACACTGGCACGCGGGAGACAGCGAATGCTGTCAACACCGGCAGCGGCCGATGTTGGGCAGGCGAAGCGTGCCCCCGATGGACATCTTCCCAAGGGACCTCAGCGAGTCTTCATCTACACAGGCAGGAACCACCGACAAGGGGCCACGAGGGTGCCAGGAAACAGCCTTGAAGGGGCCCGGGCCTCTAAAATGAGGAGCTGCCATGTACCCCGCGTCCATAAGGCGCTTGACACGCGCACCTTCTTCAGCCCCCGTTCCCCCAAAAGAACACAAAGCCAGATGCAGAAACTTGTATCGCGCAGCGCGGACTTGGATCCGCGCTGGACCCCCCCTCCCTGGCGCGCTCCGCGCGCCAAGGGCAGCGCCAGAGGCGCCGCCGGGGAGCCCCAGGCGTCGATCCGAGGAACCAGCGCGGAGCGCCAAAATTTTATGTTTACGCTGACTTTCCTTCTTCGAGCCCCGCCCTTCCCCCGATGCCGTGAGTCCGATGCTGTCGGTGCTCATCCCCGTTGACAGAAGTACAGACAAAGATTTGGGGAGAAACATGAAACATACTCAAAACAAGTTTAGACATGTCCAAAACTATGCAAAGAAAATCGCCCCGTAGAGGGACGTGCCCGACCTACCCGTTGACCCAGACCCCGCAGCTCACGGGGCGGCGTCGCGCCACATCGCCGATGCCTTGACTAAGGGGGAGCTCGGGCGCCACGGCCTGCACCGCGCCCGCAAAACGCCGCGGCATCGCTCCGACCCCACCGCCATCGCCCGGACGTCCATTCTCCGTGCATTTCTCGGCTCCGCGCCAATATTTCTGCAAAGAAGAACCGCAAGTCATATAGGCTTTGCGCGCTCCGCGCAGATTTTGTATCCGCGCTCGGCACCGCCGGCGGCGCCTCTGGCGCCGCTCCTGGCGCGCTCCGCGCGCCGGGGAGGGGGGTCCAGCGCAGATCCAAGAAATCCGCGCGGAGCGCCTAAAGTTTCTGCTCATGGCGTGGTTTCTCCTTCAATAGTCGCAAGATGGCCCCAAACGCTCCTCGATTGTCATCGTCGAAAAGAAAATACACAGATAAGGCCTCCCAGATGGGGTCCGGATAGTGATGGGGTCGGACGACATCGCCGCATCGCCGATGCATCGCCGATGCATCGCCGGTGCATCGCCGGTGCATCGCCGATGCACCGGCAACTCGGGCTCCACATCGAACCGCATCTGCGATGCACCAGCGATGCGGCGCGATCCTTCGACCCCACCTACTCCGACCCCATCCGGGAGGCCAAAAAACAAGTGTGAGAAAAAACACTGTGATGAAAAACGAGTGTGATAAAAAGAACTAGTGTTAAATCGGGCCTGTCCCCCTACAGGGGGATTTCTGACGAAAAAAAATACCAGACAAATAGTCAAAACATAGCCCAACAGTAGCCTGGGGACTATTTTGGGTGAATTTTTTAACCTTCTTGGAATATTTGTTGGGGCATTCTTAATTTTTTGTTGAACATCGTCCTGTAGGGGGATCTGCCCGATATGAAACTAGTGCGACATGGCTCGCACTTGTTTTTTATCACACTGTTTTTGATCACGCTCGTTTTCTTTCACGCTGGCCCGGGCGATGCCGAGCCCCCCGCTCCGCGGCCTTAATGGGCCCTGGAAACGACAGGGCCGTTTTTTACCGGTTCCGGTTTGCCGTTTTCTTGCCGGTTCCGACGCCGTTGTTGTAACGGTTCCGTCGCCGTTTTTTGACCGGCTCCGGCTCAAGGTCCAATCCTGGAGCCGTCTTTTGCCGTTTCCGCTCGCCGTTTTTCTGCCGTTTCCATTTTCAAGGGACATTTTTTGGGAAACGGTGAGAAGACGGCCCTGCCGTTTCCGGGGCCCACAAAGTCCGCGGCCCCTCGCGCGGAGGGCTCCCGCGCTGCCGGCGCCCGAGGGATCGGCCTTCGGGGGCCTCGGCGGGAGGTGCACGTGGACCTCAGGGGTACGTGGCGGCGAGCAGGGGGTGAGGGGGAAGCGAGAGGGAGCGGGCCTTCTGAGAGGGCTCGGAAGCCCCCCGGGCCCTCTGAGAGAAGTTCCCTGAGCCTCTCCCGAAGACACGGGAGGCCTCTCGGGTGGCGCGAGGGCTTCTGAGAAGTCCCGCCGCCTTCTGAGAGGGCTTTCTCCCTCTCACTTCCCGCCCCTCTGAAGGGGCCCAGGGACACACGAATACATAAACACAGATCCAAGGACTCCCTATATTTTCTGACATTTTCTGGCTGTTCGTCTTCCCCTCCACTTCTAAAATTTCCCATATGTTCGGGGGAATCGACGATTCATTGTGTCTGTGTGTGTTTTTCCCCTCCTGACCCTCGCTCGCCGCCGAGATACACTTGGCCCCCCCTCCCACCCCGCAGGGCCCGAATCTGTGTGTCCATGTCCACCGCCCGCCGACATCCGCGAGCAAGCCTCTCCCAGAGGGGTTGGTGGCTGTGGACGGAGCCCCGCCACGGCGCGCAGATGTCAAGGGGCCCTGGGACAAACCGATAAATCCACACACACACAAATCCCAGGATTCCCTAAATGTTAAATGTTTCCTGGGTTTTCGTCATCCCCCCCACTTCCCATATTTTCCCAGATGTTCTACGGAATCGTCGATTACTTGTGTCTGACGGGATGGCATGGCTACGTTGCCCGACGGCGAACGTCGTCCAAACCTGGCAGCGGCGGCAGTTGCCTCAGATGGACAGCGTCCATGGAGACGACGACGGCAGCGAATTGTGCTCAAAACGAGCAGGAACTGCTGTCGGCTTTAGTGCCCGTTCTGTCCGGCATCCCCAAGGCCGTGCACGGCGACAGCAGCACAAAAAAGCCCATCGTACCGACAACGCAGCCGAAACCGACCGAGACCGACAGGCCGAAAGCAGCCCGCAAGGGCGCAGCGACGCGGCAGCGACACAACAACCGACCGAACTTGAACCGCCCGCACGCCACCGACTGCGACGCGACCGAACCCACCGGACCGTGAACGCCCTTGTGACCATCCACTCTGCTCGTGCCGATGCCCGCGGCCCCCCGCGGGGGTGGCGCCCGGCGTCCCAGGCGGCCCGCAGCGCGGCGCCGCCGCGCTCCGGCGCCCCCAGCGCGTCCTCGCACAGGCGCGCCAGCTGCCGCGCGAGCACGCCGCGGGCGGAGAGGTCCTGGGGCCGGGGGGAAGAGGCGAGGATCCGGCCGCGCCCTCCCCGACGGCGCGGTGTCCTCAAATAGGCGGGCGTCCTGCCCTGGCCTCGGCCTCTCGGGCCCGTCCTGGGGGCCCCCAGACCATCCAGAAGGACCCGGGGGGGCTGCGCATCGCAAGAAACTGCCACGAGGACTACGGGGCGTCCACGACGAGGGGGCGTCCAAGAGGGGGGCTCGCAGATCGTGGTCCGAGGCATGTGCGCGGACCAGGGCGGGGGACCCGAGGACCTCGAGGACGACCTGGCAGAAGAGGAGGGGGAACGAGGGATGGGGAATGGGAGAAGGACACGTCGACCCGGAATCGGCGACACATCGCCAGTCGATCCGTGTGAGGCCCCCGGAGGCAAATCCGCTCGGTCCAGGGCGATCGACCCAAGAGCCCCACAACCGTGCGGTGACCCCGAGGCCCCACGGACTCACCACGCGGTGCGGTCGCCGCCCCGCTCGGGGGCCCTGGGCAAACGCGGCGCGGCCGGCGGCGCAGGGGGCACCAGGGAGCGGAGATCCATGCACGCGGCTCGAGGCCTTCCGGCGGCTGAGGAGGAGGAGGAGGAAGAGGAGGAGGAGGAGGAGGAGGAGGAGGAGGAGGGGGAGGAGGAGGAGGAGGGGGAGGAGGAGGAGGAGGAGGAGGAGGGAGGAGGGGGGAGAGGAGGAGAGGAGGAAGGAGGAGGGGGAGGAAAAAGAGGAGGACGACGAGGAGGACGAGGAGGGGAGGTGGACACCCCTACCTCCACCCGCCTCTGACGCCAGCCCGAGGTCCTGGAGAGGAGCGCTGGCATCACCGCGGGCACTGGGGCCGAGGATCGACTGGAGGCCTGCGCATGGGCACGAGCATTAGGTCGGGCATGTCCCCTGCAGGCGGATTGTGGGGCTTAAAAATATCTACAAAATATCAAAACATCTTCAACACATCGTGGAACAATCGTCCCCAGACTATTTTTGACTAGTTTTGAATTTTCCTCCTGTAGAGGGACAGGCCCGGCTTCACTCAAGCCCGACTTCACACTTCGCACAAGCACCACTGATCTTAGACTTCGGTGCTGGTGGTAATCTTTCGGGCGCCTGAAAAGCCCGAATCTCAGCACTCGGCGGCGAGCGAGGGGGGGGGAGTGAGAGGGAGAAGGCCCTCTCAGAAGGCGTCGGGACTTCTCAGAAGCCCTCGCGCCTTCGGGCTAAAATGCAGGTGTCTTCGGAGAAGGCCTATAGAACACGTCTCGGAAGGCCTGGGGGGCTGCCGAGCCGTCCGAGAAGGCCCGCCACCCCCTCAAATTCGCCCCCCCCCCCCCCCCCCCCGACTCGCAGCCGAACTGCCACCACCGAGGCCGTGATCCTCTCCCATCGGTGGAGGCACCCCGCCGACATCTGCGCTGGTGCCAACCTCTGCAGCCGACCCGTACCATGAGGCTGCGCCGTCAGGACGCAGAGGGGCCTCGGAGCGACACGCTCGGCGTCTTTGCTTCGAGACGAGGCTGGCCAGCGAGAGCCCCCAGGGATCCGCTGAGGGGGCGAGGGCTGCCAGGGCCCCCCTTGGGGAAGGCTTCCCATGCTTCTCCTGCGGGCGGACTATGTAACCCAGGCCTCCGAGATCGGGGCCCTCCGACGGCCTCGGCTCCTCCTGCGCCTACCCTCCGAGGTCGGGCCCCCCCGACGGCCTCGGCTCTGCGCCTCCGGCGGCCTCCAAAAGAGGTCCGCGGGGGGGGCCTCTGGGAACCCGCGCCCATATAGGAACCTGCCGCAGCGGCCGCCACGCTCATCGGGCCTCTGCGCCGCGCGATACGGTGGGCGCGGAGCCTCCGATGACCCGACGACCACGCAGCCCCAAGCCAAGAGCACTTCGATGCGACCCCGAACGGAATCCTGAGACCCATGGGCGTTTTGGTTGTTGCCTCTGCAGCAGCGTGGCAGGACTGGTGTGCAGCACATGAGACCCAGCCCCGAGACCCCAGGACGCCCATGGAAAGTTTCGTGAGGGAGCGTCGCGCTGTCCATGGCAGAGCCATGGAATCCCAAGAAACCCAGGGCACCCTGGAGGAGGAGGAGGAGAGGGAGGAGGAGGAGGAGGACGAGAGGAGGAGGGAGGAGGAGGTGGAGGAGTTGGAGGAGGAGGAAGGAGGTGGAAGGAGGAATGGGGGGAGGAGGAGGAGGAGGAAGAAGAGGAGGAGGACCGACGAGGGGGGGGGAGGAGGGGAGGGGGAGCAGAGGAGATGAGGAGGAGGATGCGGAGGAGGAGGAGGAGGAGGAGGAGAGGAGGAGGAGAGGGGAGGAGAGGACGAGGAGGGAGGGAGAAGGGGAGGAGGAGAGAGGAGGAGGAGGAGGAGGAGGGGGACGGAGGAGGAGGGAGGAGGAGGAGGAGGAGGAGGAGGAGGAGGAGGAGGAGGAGGAGGGAGGAGGAGGAGGAGGAGGAGGAGGAGGGAAGAGGGAGGAGGAGAGGGGGAGGAGAGGAGGAGGAGGGGGAGGAAGAAGGAAGGAGGAAGGAGGAGGGAGGGAGGAGCTGGTCCGTGCCACGAGGCGCGGGCGCAGGCCGAGGCGAGGCGCCCGCAGGCCTCCACTCTCCGCGCCCCCGCGCCGCCCCCCGGGCTCCAGAGAGAGACAGCTCCCTGGACACCCTTGCGCGGTGCGGGCGCACGGGGCGGCCGGAAGGAGCTCGCAGCACCCCACACTCCTCCTCCTTCTCCTCCTCCTCCTCCTCTTCCTCCTCCTCGTCGACCTTCCTCCTCCTCCTCCTCCTCCTCCTCCTCCTCCTCCTCCTCACCCTCCTCGTCCTCCTCGTCCTCGTCCTCCTCCTCCTCCTCCTCCTCCTCCTCCTCCAGACAGAGAGGACGCCTGGCGCTTGCGCGCGATGGCGCGTACGCGGGCCGCGAGATCGGCACGCTCCATTCGCAACGAGGGCGCGCTCACGCGGCCCTGCGCGGGCAGCTCAGAAGGCGTCTCAGGAGGCGAGAGGCCTTTCTGAGCCTTCCGAGAAGGTCCGCCCAACCTCACCTCCCCCCTCGGCGCGCCGCCGACCGAATTGGAGAACGCCTGCGAACGTCGAGGGCAGTACAGGGAGCCCTCCTAGATGGGGTCCGAGTAGATGGGGTCGGAAGATCGCGCGGCATCGCCGATGCAGCGGCGATGCACCGACGGCGCCAGGGATGCATCGGCGCCGTCGGGGCGTCGAGGACATCGGGCTCCACATCATGCCGCACTGGCGAGATGCGTCGGCAGTGCGACGCAATCCTCCTACCACGAGCAGCAAGCGCATCCGTGTTCGCGCCCTCGCGATCTGGATTCTGCGGCGCGATCCCGCGGGTAGGCGGTCGCACGTATACGTTCCACACGGGGCATCCGCGGAAAACGCTCCGCGTCCGCGGGGTCTAGGGACACAAGCAATGACATAAGCATGAAAAACGCGCAGGTCCGTGAGGATTTCTTGGATCCGCGCTGGGCCCCCCCCCCCCCCTGGCGCGCGGAGCGCGCCACGGGCGGCGCCTCAGTCGCCGAACCCCACCCCCCCCTCAGAAATCGTGGGGGGTAGGGGTAGGGTTCGCATGTGGACCCCAAAAATGGTCCTTGGCCCCGCCGAGCAGGCCCTCCAGCGCCAGGGCCCCGGCCTCTGGGCCCCCGGCCCGGAGCTCCAGGGAGAAGAGGCGCAGCCCGGCCTCGCCGCGGCCGCGCAGCGGGAGGGCGCCAACGAGATGCACACACGGACACACGCACACACACACACACACACACACACACACACACGCACGCACGCACGCACGCACGCACGCACGCACGCACGCACGCACGCACGCACACGCACACGCACACGCACACGCACACGCACACGCGCACGCGCACGCGCACGCGCACGCGCACACGGACACACACGGACACACGCAACATCATCGCCAACACCCTCATCAGCATCATCACCATCATAGGACTGCCGATCAACATGATCGCCATCAGCGTCACCACCGCCACCGGCAATATCATTACGAGCGCGCTCATGCGCATGGCCATCATCATGATCATCATCATTACCAGCAGCAACATCACCATCACCATCAACAACATCAACATCATATTTACACACGCACTTGTTTGCTTCCCGACCGGTTGATCCAACTCAGCGAACGACCTCGCCAATGAGGCGTACCATCAAGCGTCGCTTATGAGGAAGCACTGAAACGCTCCAGGGCAGAACAAAGAGAGCATGCGAAACCATGCACGGCGCAAACCTCACAAACACACACACACACACACACACACACACACACACACACACACACACACACACACACACACACACACACACACACACACACACACACACACACACACACACACACACACACACACATTTTTTGTCGTCGCCGGTCCAGGCCCGCAGCTCCCAGACACCGTGCCCCAGCAGCGTGGCCGAGGCTCGGCCGCGGCCCGGGCTTCTCGCGGAGGAGGAGCTCACGGCGAGATGCCAGCGCCAGTCCAGACATCCGACGATAAGACCTTGTCAATGCACACGGCCCCTGGGGTCTCTACCGGTCGGACCCAGGCCAGCAGAACCTCCTTCGAGAACGTGAGTGAAGGGGCCCTGGGACACACAAATAAATACACACAAATAAAACGATTCCCAATATATTCCCATAATTTCTTGGTTTTTGTCTTCCCCCCCCACTTCCTATATTTTCCCATATGTTCTGGGGCATCGAGGATTAATTGCGTCTGTGTGTTTCTTCCCCTCCTGAGTGGGATCCTCCGTCGGCCAGAACTCACAGAGCATCCAAGGGTATCCTCCCCAAGATGCACAAGAGCATCCAACACACACGAAGAGCACTAGGGTACCCTCCCCGAACCGACCTCGATCCTATTCCTCGGCCCGGCTGACTGCACCTCCTCCCCGGGAACAGACGCGTGTCCCGCATCCACTGCTCGAGGGCCCCGGGGCTCAACGACGCCAGCCGGAGGCCGAAGTCAACGAAAAAACACCCAGACGGAGCAGCAGAACTACAGTCGGGGCGTTGACCTAAGGAACCTTATAAGGGACGAGGACCCCTTTCTCCCATAAGTTGAACTTCGATTTCCCGTGGAAAACCCCAGGAAAACAGAAGGCAAACTGCAGAGCAATCAAGGAACACCAAGCCCCTCCAACGAAAAGGGTTCCTTCTTCGGGGTCCCGACTCTATCGTCGGAGATCTGGACTGACCGCGGGCACGCGCGGCGGCACAGGACGCTGCCGACGGCGCCTGCGCTTGGACTCGTCGGCATCAGGTCGGTCCCGACCCGAGGTTCCCAGAATAAGCGTGCCCCTGCCATGATTCTTCTTCGGCCGCCGCCTGGGCCTCTGGCGGATGGAGAGCGCACGACGGCATTCCAGGGCCAAGTGGCATGCAAGATATTAGGCACGAGGAGGTTTAAGTGGAGGGGAACTGGGACACACAAATAAATACACACAAGTAAAACTATCCCCCCATATTTTCACATATGTTCCCATATGTTCTAAGTTTTTGTCTTCCCCCCCACTTCCCATAGTTTCCCATATTTTCTGGGAATCGCCGTTTAATTGTGTCTGTGTGTTTCTTTCCCTCCTGATTAGGCTGGCGCTCCAGGGCCGCGGCTCGCACACTCGAGTGGGCGTCCTCGATACTGCACCCTTGCCTGTGAGAACAAAAAAAATTGACTTCATCGTCTCGTCTCGTCTACAGTCGAGGCGTTGACCCAAGGAACCCTAAATAAGGAACGAGGCCCCTCGTCCCATAAGTTCAACCTCGATTTCCGATGGAAAACCTCAGGAAAACCCAAGGCACACTTTGAAACAATCAAGGCACACCGAGCCCCTCCCCAACGAAAAGGGTTCCTTCTTCAGCGCCCCGACTGTACTCCTAAATGCTTGGCGCTGGGCGCCCGCTGCCACAGGCTCCTGCCTGACAACCCTGAGCTGGATCGAACCCCGAGACCCAATCGGATCTGAAACGGGTCGTCAGATCTACTGACCAGGCTCAGTGCAAACCCGGGTCAGTCAGGCCTCGCAAGATACTGCAACCTCCTGCAAGATCCTGCGGGATCCTACACCCAAGCCCGGGTCAGTGTACCCCCTGGTCATTCAGGATCCTGCAAGGTCCAGCGCTCTGACTGACCCCCGCTTGCACGGACCCCATTCCCAAGGCTCTTCTGCAGAGGGACACGCCCGACTTAACCCTGAGCTGGGTCGAATCCCGAAAGCAAGTCGGATCTGAAACGGTTCGCCAAAAAATTGTCTCAAGGCTCCCGAACAGAAATCGGATCGCCGCGCGGGGCTCCATCTGGCCCAGCCGATGCCGGTGAACCGAGCCGAAGCGAAAAGAAGCGGAATCGAGGCCCCAGCCGACGAATCAAGTCGCATCGAATCGAACCGTAAACGGCCTCTGTCCCGCGCATGCCAGCAGTGCCCACGAGGGGGGGCGCGACGAAGGAGAAGTCATTGAGCGCGCAGGATTGGGAAGGTGCGTGCAGAGAAGGGGGAAGGGGAAACAAAAGAACGCATGATCCACGAGGACGGCGGGCAGGCGTGAGGAAAGATGGGGAGTGGGGGGGAGAGGAGGGATGAGCGGGGCAGAGAGGCAGAGCGAGAGGACAAGAGGAAAGGGGGAGCCTGGAAAACGAGTGAGGGGAGGACTGCTCTTCTGGGTCGGCGGAGCGACTTCGGCGGAAGTCAGCCAGCCCTTCCGGTGCTTGCCACGAAAAACGCCCCAGGCACTCCGCGCAGAGCGGGCGGGCCACCCGAGAATTTGCGGAGCTCCGCGCGGCGGCGCCGCAAGAAGCAAACGTGGCTGCAGCCCGCACGGGGCGTCGAGGAGGCGTCTCTGCAGACGTGCACTCGGTGGCTGTGAAGAGGCGGTTAATTCTTAGAGTCGGAGAAGGGAAATTGGAAACGAAATGCTCCACTTTCTGCACGCAAGCATTTGGACACACATCCTGTCAACGGCAACCCACATCAGTCACATCCGGCGCGGCACGCACGTCGAGCCGACATGGACCAAAAGGGTGGGTAAAATTCTGCACCGGTTGGATCGCGCCTGGGCGGCGGCCTCATCCGCTCGGCGGCGGCCCGTCTGCGCTCGAACCGCCTTTAAACGGTGCGACTCCCAATGTAATATTAAAAATGAAAGTCGGATGCTCCTCGAAGTTTGCACGACATGGTATAAACTCACACACCGAACGCGCCCAGCGGTCTCAAAGCGGCCCGAAACAGTCTCAAAGGGTCTCAGAAGTCTCGAAGCCCTCGGCGACAAGCCCATCTACGAGTCTCACACGGTTTCACAGTGCGACGAAATCCTGGGCGTCGAACGCAGTCGCGCGTCTCACAAAAAGGGTTTCAAATCGCCCCGAACCCTCAGCGCCGAGCACATCCGCGAGTCTCACATGGTCTCAAAGTGCCACGAAACTCTCGGCGCCGAACGCAGTCGCGCGTCTCAAAGGGTTTCAAATCTTCTCGAAATCCTCGGAGCCGAGCCCATCCGCGAATCTCACATGGTCGCACGATGCGACGAAACCCTCGGCGCGCACTCGCGCGTTCCAAAGGGTCTCACAATGGCCCGAAACCCTTGGCGCCGAGCACATTCGCAACACTCACGTGGCCTCGTAGTACCACGAAACCAGTAACGCCGAACGCACTCGCGCGATTCAAGGAGCCTCACAACGTCCCGAAATCCTCGGCGCCAAGCACATCCGCTCACAGTGCCACGAAACTCTCGGAGCCGGACGCATTCGCGCGTTTCAAAGGGTCTCACAATGCTAGGAGACACTCGGCGCCGAGCGCATCCGCGCGACTCAAAAGAACTCACAAAGCCACGAAGACCTCGGCGCCGAGCAGATCCGCGCGACTCACATGGCCTCAGAGTGCCACGAAACCCTCGGCGCCGAACGCCGCAAACGTCGACATGGCCACAGTTCCTTGCGCGGTTCGGGCTAGCTCCGGCGAAGGACTCGGCCGACGAGCGAGCTCTTGAACATGCTTCAATGCGAGGGAGAGGGGGGGAAGTCAAGCTAAATGCGCTCGCGTCATCGCTGACGTCCTACCTTTCCCGACCATCCCTTGCAATGGCGTTGCTGTGTCTCTATCCGCGGGCGCATGTCGTAGCGGAGTGGTGACTCCGACAAGTGCCGCCTCTGGCAAGACCATGAAGTAGAATGTGCGTGTGGCGGTGGCGTGCGTGGTGGTGGCGGCAGCGTGTGTATGTGTGTGTGTGCGTGTGTGTTCGCGCGCGCGTGGTGGTTGGTGGTGCGCGTGCGTGCGTGCGTGGTGGTATGTGTGCGCGTAGCAAAAAAAAGGCGACGCACTGCAATGGATCCGAAACGGCCGCACGCATTGTAATAAAACTGGGCATCGCGCTTTCGCGCAAGGCATTCAGTACACCTGCAACCCTAATGGCAACGCCGCAAAGAACGTGGCCCGAACGCGAGCGCGAACTCCAGTTCCAAACATGTTTTCTCGGACTGTATGCGCGGCCCACGACGACGACATTATGAACGACACCGCCGACGACAGTGACCCACGATGAACGACGACGACGACTGCGACGACGACGACGACGGCGTCGGAGACGCCACTAAACAGTCGAGGCCACATCCCATCGCAGCGAGTCGTTGACCGCGCAGAGGCCGCGAGAAAACATCCGAGTCTGGAGCGGCTGCCGATGCGAGGATGCAGAGGTGGCTCTGGCAGCAAGGGCCACCGCTCTTGACTACCTACCAGACCACCCCAACCGAACCCGAATACCCGAATTTCGGGTTGGGGGGGGTATGGGCTCAATGTGTTTTTACCTAACAGCGAAGACTAACGGGGTCAAAAGAGAACATCTGATGACTCCCCAGAGGGGTCTGGGCGGGAGCCTGACAGGCGAGGGCCGGGCTCGCTTTAAGCAAACAGTCACACACTTCGTGCTCTTCGACCTCCCAAAACTCCATTCCCGGGCCACATTTTGAATGCCCGGAGTGAATTGTAAGCCACTTCGTGCTCTTCGATGTCCCAGAACTCCACTCCCGGGCCACATTTTGGATGCCCGGAGCCAACTGTAAGCCACTTCGTGCTCTTCGACTTCCCAGAACTCCACTCCCGGGCCACATTTTGGATGCCCGGAGCCAACTATAGGCCACTTCGTGCTCTTGGACTTCCCAGAACACCACTCCCGGGCTACATTATGAATGCCCGTAGCCAACTGTAGGCCACTTCGTGCTCTTCCACATCCCAGAACTCGACTCCCGGGCCACATTTTGAATGCCCGGAGCCAACTGTACGCCACTTCGTGCTCTTCCACTTCCCAGACTTCCAAGACTCATCATCTTCATCATCATCATCATCATCATCATCGTCCCCGTAGCCTTCTTGGCTACAGCCCTGCTTTCGAATATTTCCTTTTCAAAGGAACTGCGCAGCGCCTACTGCACACCTCAATGCCAGGACATGATGATAGTTCTCGGTCTGGCGGCGGTGCTCCTGACCCTGCTGCATTGAACAGCGGTGCTCCTCAGCCTGCGCAGGGAACAGCGCTGCTCCTCAGCGTGCTGCATTGAGCGGTCCTCTGCAAACGCTCGTCGAGCACGTGAAGCAGTTCGGCCGGATACCGAAGCGAAATAAAGGAACGTCCGAACAAGAACGGGCCGAAAACAAGTTGGCCAAACGTTTCTCGGACCACCGCGACCGCATCCCCAAAGACATTCTAGTTGATAGCAGTGTCTTGTTTAGACCTCAGTGCATTTATACAAAGACCTATATTGGAGATACCGTTATCGAAAACAGTGTTTCTACTGCTACTACCACTGCTCCCATCACTCCTACTCGTTCACTCCACACACTACAACTACGACTTCACTGTTACCACTACTACCATCACTACTACTTCTACTGCTACTACTACTGTTACAATTACTGCTGCTGCTGTTGCTGCTGCTAGTGTAGCTAGTGCTACTGCAACTACTGGCAGTGCCACTGCGACTGCCGCTGATGTTGCCACTGCGACTGCCACTGCGAATCCGAATGCGACTGCGAGAACACCAGAATTCTACAACAGCACTCTTACATGAATACCACAGGCAATGTTTCCAGCTATGCTTCTACACATCGCTGTTAGGTTGCTTTGCCAGGATAATTTCGATGTTCCCGGACCCCCCCCCACTAGAAATCGAGGGTAAATCTGAGCCTTCGGGTTGGGTTGGGGTGGTTTGGTGGGTGGTGAGTTCTCATCGCCTGAAGCCGCGACGGTCAGAGACCGATCACGCTGGCGTGGCGCGCTCAGCCTAACCCTATCGGAGGGCGGCGTCGGTGGCCAGGCCATCGGCGGTCTTCGACGGGTACAGTCGGGGCCTTGACCTAAGGAACCCAAAATAAGGAACGACGCCCCTTTTTTCCATAAGTTAACCTTTGACTTCCTGTCGAAAACATAAGGAAAGCCTGAGGCAATCTGTGAATCACTACGGAATGCGGAGCCCCTCCCCAACGAAAAGGGTTCCTTCTTCAGGGCCCCGACTGTATTGGCAGTCTCTGGGGGGAGCCAAAACAACAACACCAATACCACTGCTCCTCGGACTTCTCCCGGGGTGCGCTCTGACCGGGGCGACGAGGGCATCCCGGGCAGGCCAGGAACGGCGAAAACGAGGGAAGGGTATTTTGGCGGTGTTGGTGCCCATTCCTCTTGCTTTTTTTGCGGCACTGCTCGGCTGCCGAGGAGGGCAGATCGAGCACTTGCCGCCAACCTCTGTGGGTTGGCATCCCTCGAAGATCCCTGTGATCCCCCGCAAGCGTACGTACGCGGCCAGCAGGCTCTAGACGGCCGCAGGCTCTGGACCGCCCCGTGAAGAGGCCCGCAGGAACTTGCGCGCTTTCTCCTCTGAACTCCGATGTTCCATTTCGGGAGGAGGAAATCGGAGGGAATGTTTGGGGAAAGGTGCCGACACCGCTACTCCCCGGACCTCTCCCGGGGTGCGTTCTGACCAGGACTTCGAGGCGAATCCAGCGGTGGCGACGAGGGCCTCCCAAGAGGCCCCCAACAAAAGGAAAACGGGCGAAGGGGTAGTTAGAGGTATGGGTACCTTTTCCTCCTCTGACCCCTTCCTCCCCTCTGTCCTCCGATCTCCCCTCCGCAGCCCCGCCCAAGGGCAGCCGAGGGGCCTCGACGGTGCCGTCGCGCACGCCGCCCTCGAGCAACCCCTCCAAATGCTCGCGGGCGCGCTGCGGCCGGCCGCACAGCTCCTCCCGGGGCAGTACCGAGAGGGCTCGCCATCCCAGATGCCCGACGATGCGATTGTCTGAATATCCTCCTCCTCCTCCTCCTCCTCTTCCTCCTCCTCCTCCTCCTCCTCCTCCTCGTTTTCCTCCCCCTCCTCCTCCTCCTTCTCCTCACTCCTCCTCTCCTCCTCCTCCTCCTCCTCCTCCTCCTCCTCCTCCTCCTCCTCCTCCTCCCCCCTGCTCCTCCTCCTTTTCCCGGGGCAGCACCGAGAAGGGTCGCCATCCTAGATGCCCGACGATGTGAATCCCACTGCTCGCGAAACAAATCGAAAGCCGTCCGATCACTAGCCGGGCCGCGACTAGGCAGCAAGAAAAGAGAGGGGCAAGCGAAGCGAGCGCGCGGGCAGCCATTCAGCACTGCTTGGGGTGCGCGAAGTGTCTAGAATGTTTTAATATCCTCCTCCTCCTCCTCCTCCTCCTCCTCCTCCTCCTCATCCTCCTCCGCCCTCTCCTACTCCGCTCCTCCTCCTCCTTCCTCTCCTCCTCCTCCTCCCCTCCTCCTCCTCCTCCTCCTCCTCCTCCTCCTCCTCCTCCTCTTCCTCCCTCCCCTCCCTCTCCCACTCCCCCTCCCCCTCCCCCTCCCCTCCTCCCTCCTCCTCTCCTCCTCCTCCTCCTCCTCCTCCTCCTCCTCCTCCTCCTCCTCCTCCTCCCCCTCCTCTGGTTGCACGCCAGAGCTAGAGGCCTCCTAGATGGGGTCCGAGTAGGTGGGGTCTGTGGATCGCGCCGCATCGGCGATGCATCGGCAATGTATCGGCGATGCGCCGTCGATGCACCAGCGATGCACCCGCGATGCATCGGCGACGCCGGCATGGAGAAACTCGGGTTTCACAGCAAACCGCAGCGGCGATGCATCGGTGATGCGGCGCGATCCTCCGACCGAATTTGTTCCGACCCTTTCTGGGAGGCCTGGAAAGCCGGCCCTAGGCAAGAGTGGCCTTTGTGGCGCGGTTTTTGGGGGGCCGCGGGGAGGCCGAATCCAAGCGCGCAAGCAAACATTATCGCATCGCGCTCAACAGACGGGGGGACCTCGGTGAATCCGCACCCAAAGTCGCTCTGGCGACAGGGAACTGTTAGGTTTAATCGGGCGATCTTCCTCGATTCAGCCCTCTGGGGGCCGTTATTGTGCCCTGCGGCCATCAACTGCCGAAGATCGGGCGCCGAATTCTGTGACATGTTCGTTGTGTGTTAGATCTTTCCCCCCTTTGTGGCACCGAAGCCTTGGCATGATCGGTGAGTCGGGGGATTTCCTCCCTAGACACGACGGCTTGCACCTTGCACGGCCGACAGTCTTAACACCCATGGGGGGCTAGCGGCGGCGCCGTCTCCCGGGGACGCACTGCGATGGCGCAGCGAAACCCAGCCAATGACCACTCAAATTGCTCAGCTCTGATAGGCCCGGTCAAGCTGACTCCTGGCAGCCGCGAGACGGCGATGGTGAGCCAACGTGCTCATGCTTTCCTCGTGCCGACGCGCTGTTAGGCGCATGGCTCCTGGACAGAGCTGACCATCGAACATGGATCCCCGACTAACAAGCACCCTTGGGGAAGGGCTCGGGACCTCTGGGGCCACGCATGGAAACAAACACCACAAAATCACCCGAATAGCAGCAAACATACCATAATGCGGGACAGTGTTGTTTAGATCGCGCAGAAGCTTCAGCACATCACATCGCGGCACTATGCTATTCAAAATAATTCCGTCACTGGCACACCCAAAACCACAACCATATTGCGCAACGTTGCAGGCATAGACGCGCGAATGTCACGCTCACCCTTGGGCCCAAGAAAACACGCGTAGCGCTTGAAACCTCTTCCAGAGAGTCCGGTAGAGCCATGGCGCAGGAACGTGCGCAATGCCTTTTGGAGAATACCATTTGGGTCGGATCTCATCGAAATTAACCGACTATCCCTGATAATGATCAACATGGGATAGTCAAGTTCGGGGGTCTGGCGGGGACAATCAAAGACATTCACGGCGGGGGGGATGATGATGACGATGATGATGATGATGATGATGAGCCCGGGCGCTCGCGTAGACTGACCCTGTAGATCTTAACGCGAGACTGACTCGAGAGATCTCGAGTCTCGTGGCTGCAACATCTCTGCGTGGTCCTCAACCCTCCTGACCAAGAAACCTCTCTTGCGCACGACCGCGAACCACTCGCCCACGCAGGCTCGGCGCCCGTTGGGGCCGCCCTTGCGCGGGGAACACTTGGCGCAGGCCTGGGCGGCAGCGCTTGCCTCCTCGAGAGTGGCGCGCTTCGGCTCGGCCACCGCGGGGTCCTTGAAGGGCTTGGACTTGGCTTTGCTCTTGGCCTTGGCGTTGGCCAAGGCGTTGTCGCCGGCAACATTAAGCATGTTGATCCACTCGTTGCCACGGGCGCAGATCGCGCTGCGCTCGGCGGCCCTCGCCTCGGATCCCGCGCAGGGCGCGCTCGATCCAGCGACTCATCCACAGGCCGCGGGACCAGGCGTCGCCCTCGAACATCTCGCCGCTCTTCGCAGGGCAGGTCTCGCCAGGGCCAGTGTCGCCGAGCTTGCGAGGGACCCTCGTGGCGGCCTTAGGATGCCACATGCGCGCCCCGCCCCTGCCCCCCTCTCCCCCCCGCCCCACCCCCCGCCCCCACGCACGCGCGCGCGACTTCTGAGGAGGAGGGCGGGGTTCACTTCGTTCGGCAGCGCCCGAGCACAGAGAACCCGACCTCCCCCCTCAAAATCGCGGGGTGCAGGTGTGAGTTCGCATGTGGCCCTTCAGGCCTGGTCGGCGTTCTCGGACGGCTGCATGAGGGCGTCGCGGTCTTCCATCGCGACGCCCCCGCCGATCCTCGAAACCAGTGGCGGATGTTGCCACAAGTGCCCCCCGCCCAGAATGCCTCCAGGACTCGCTCCGCAACGGAGCGAAAAGCTGGATGCACCTTGGGGCAGGGACAACTGTAGCATCCGCCGGCTCTGAAGTAGGTGGAGTGCGCGGGCGCCTCGGAGTGCACGCAGATCGGGGCGTGCTCGGCCTTGCGGGCTCTCTCGACCCAGCGCTTCTGCCCCTCGGGCTGCCGGGCGGCGGATTCGCCCTCGCCCCGGCCCTCTCGAGTCCAGGCGACGGCCGCCAGAACGGTCTCGGGGGCGCCCGCGCGCCCCTCGATCTCGGCCAGCAGCGCGTGCACTGTGCCCAGCTCGAGGGCGTCGCCCTTGACGATTTGCTCGCAGTCCATGATCGAGTGCTCCTCGGCGAGCTCGGTGCGGCGAGCCAGTTTGGTCTGGCGCCAGTCGAGCCCGTGCGGCTGGGGGAACCTGCAGTCCTGCTCGATCGTGTCCTGTGGCGCTCGGGATTCGCAAGCGCTCGTTAGCTTCCGCCTGCTTCCGCCTCGTGGCTTCAAGGTTCCGCCGTCGCTCCCACCGCCAGCTTTCCGCCGCTTCCGCCGTTTCAGCTAGCTGCCGCTTGCTTCCGCCGCCTCAGGCGGAAAAAAGCGGAAGCTGCAAAGTTCCCGTGAGCCTCCGACTCTCGCTGCCGTCGAGCTGGAGGGTCGCCGCGGTCTCCACCTCGTGGACGCGCAGGCGGCGCGCGCCCTCGGTGCCCAGGACTCGCCAGACGTCCTGCACTCTGCCGCGCCTGCCCTCGTGGACTCCCTCCTCGGTGACGCGGGCCACCTTGCCGTGCCAGAGGGGCCATCGCAAGCCTCGAGGACTGTTTTCGCCTTGGCCTTCGCATCCTTCTTGGCGTTCTTCTCCGCTTGCGCCTTGGCCTTGAGCTCTGGGAGAAGCTCGTCTTGGCCTTCGGCGCCATGCCTGTGAGCTTCGTGCTCGAGCGAGGCCTCGCCGCCAGTCTCGGCCTTCGCGCGCTGCCACTTGCGCTGCAGCTTGCCCAAGAACTGGCCCGAGAACATGGACGCCCACCTGCTCTTGCGTTTCCTTGTGCGCGCCACCTTGAGTCGGTTCTCTGGGGGCGCACGGGAACAGGATATCCTTGATCCGCTCTTCTGGCGTTCTGATCATGTCCTTCTCCTCGTCGGTGAGCTCGAGGTCCAAGTCTCGGAGCTCCAGGAGGCAGGGGTTCTCGTCCTGCACGTAGTCCTTGGGCAAGTCGTCGAGGTGGAAGCAGCTCCCGCCGAGGGCGCTCCACTCGGGCGCGGGCGGCGCGCCCTCGGGCCCCCTCTGCGCGCCCTCCAGGCGCTCGCTCGCCAGCTCCACGCCGCGGCCGGGCTCGACGGAGTAGCTCCACGGCCCCATGCCCGTGACGGCCTTGAGATCGCCCTGCTCTGGCGGCCGGGCCGCGAGCATTCGGTTCGCTTGCAGCCCTTGCCGCGGCACCGCGCCCTTGTTCTTCTCGCGGAAGCGGGCGTGGGCCTCGGAGACGCAGCAGATGCACTCGCAAGGCCCCCATTGGGTCGGGGACGTGCACTGCCTCTCGGGCTCGGCCTTGGCCTTCTGGATCCAGTCCTGCTCCATGGCCCAGTCCATCTCGGCCTTGACCTCTCGGATCATGGCCTTGAGCTGACTGTGCTCGCCGGTGTCCGGCCCCTGCAAGAAGCTCGCGTCGTCGGGGGCCATGGGCGCGTAGACCAAATTTTCGAGCCACGCTCGGAGCGCGACTGCCTCGGCCCACTGGCTCGAGAGGCAGCCTGCGCGCGCGAGGCTCCGGCCGCGCTGCTGCGCGGCGAAGTCGATGGTCCAGGAAGCGACGAACTCGCCCGCCCAAGCCCCGGGCCGCCCCCGCACGTCGACGGCCTCGAAGACCCTCGCGCGTTCCCCTCGGAGAACGCGAGCAATGCTCCTACGGGCTCGCCTGCTCGGAAGTGCTCCGTTTCGCCGTCACCCCGCTCGTAGGTGTCGTCGCGCCGCCAGGTGCCCTCCCCGAGGTTCACGTTGCTCACTCGGCAGTGCCTCGCGCGCGGGACGATGGGCGCGCTGCGCTTCTTGTCGGACATGGGCCCCCTGCTCGGGTCGAACCGGCCCTCGACTGCGGAGATG